TTCAAAACCAGGATATCTTTGGTTATATCTTGAAAATTTGAATTATTATTGTTTGTAGTTCTTTGTTATAAATTAATTGTTAAAAATCTGTTAGAATTAGATTCTATAAGACTTAGAATCATAATTTTTATACCCTTGCAGAGGGTATTTTAATTTTGGTCAAAAGTGTGCAACGCAGTGAAGGAGACATCTCCGACCCTATAAAGTATATATATTCTTGATCAGGATCACCTCCTGAGTTGATATAAGCATGTCCGTATGTCCGTCTGTCTGTCCGTCTGTCTGTTTCTACCCGAACTAGTCTCTTAGTTTTAAAGATATCGAATTGAAACTTTGCACACACCCTTCTTTCCTTTGCACGCAGTATATAAGTCGGAACGGTCGCGATCGGCCGACTATATCCTATAGCTGCCATATAACTGAACGATCGGAAATGCCATAACTTTGGTGTTTGCAAAGTTAGGAAGTTTGGATTTTCTATGGATTTTATTTTTGACCAATCAATCCGACATACCAAATTTCATAAGGATCGCCCGACTATATTATATAGCTGCCATATAACTGAACGATTGGAAATGCCATAACTTTGGTGTTTTTAAAGTCGGATTGATTGGTGGGATGGAAGTTGGGATTTTTATGAGTGTTAAGAATGCATCATATGAATAATTTTGGAGAATATAATTTACATAGTATTCTGCAAGGGTATATCAACTTCGGCTCCGCCCGAAGTTAGCTTTCCTTTCTTGTTATGACTCATTCCAATAAAATTGTGAGCAAATTTTGCTCTCATGTTATTACTTTCCATTTCCTGTAGTAGTGCTATTGCATTAGGCAAGTCTGTTGGATTCATTGAATAAAGTGTCGCCGATATTGGGCCGTTAAGGCCAGTTATAAAAACTCTCAAAGCGCTCTATATATGACTGTTATTTATTTCAGCCGTTATTGGCTTATTTCGTCCGTAGGTCATTATGGTTTTATAAGCTTCCTATATACTTGGTTATAGTATTCCTTGACCGGATACTAAGGCTCTTGCTCTATTATATGTTTCCACTTTGTTGGAAATATTGTAATAATAATAATGCCGTCATCTCTTGACTGCTGTCGCTAAACACGAAATCTAGCCTGGCCAAAATGGCATAAAAACTTAAAACTGTTCCATGGATTGTTAACGCATTATTTGCTTTTCCACTAACTTTATTTTTTCAAAATGGATAAAGCTGCAAAATATCTCCTGGTATATTGGCTCATCGCTTTTTTTGCCCGCGAGAGTTCCTTTAAACTTTTAACTTATTTTCATTAAAAACTTTTTTGGACCTTTCTATATTCGCGGCCCCACTTGGGCGCCAATTACATATTTCCATACAAATTTATTAAAAAAAATTTTTTTTCCAATTAGTCCATTTAGTTGTACAAGAAAATTAAAAAAAAAGATAAATATAAATATTTTTCGAAAATTAAAAATATAGTTATTTCAAAAAAAAAAATTAAGATTGTTTAAAAACTTGGTTTTTTAGGTTCAACTAGAAGATAATTTAATCTTGTTTCGATAGCACATTTAATTTTTTCCCTATCTTTCCCGTCAATAAGGAAAAATCGCCAAAAATTAAACCGAGAAATCGTAACGCTTGTTGACTATTCTGTAACTTTAAAAATATTTTAAATTTGCTTCTGATTTGATTAAAAAATTTTATTTATTTTTGATAATGCCACTTTGTTGGAAATATTGTAATAATAATAATGCGTCATCTCTTGATTGCTGGCCTATATTCTTGGCTTAGCTTAGCTCTAGGCTGCGCAGTCGGCGTTGTCGGTCAAGCCGGCAGCGACGCAACAGACTTTTTTTTTTTTTTTCGGACGTTGATGCACCATGATCAGCGCAAACAAGTGGCCCTTACGACACCAAGCAGTGCTTGTTACGCGCGGAGCCTAATAGGCGTAAAAACGAGATCGCGAGAAGTTAAAAGCACAATGTAGAAGCGGACAGACTAAGATTAGAAATACGTACGAGACTAATGCTAATACTAATTTTGTGCTAAGTAAGATAAAATTAATGATTTTAGGCTTGGCAAAGAGTCGGTAGTAGAAATAATGTGGTATAGTCTATTATAGTCGTTACACAGTACTCTAAACGGTTCATGCATATCAAAGTTAGATCTACAAATATTTAATGTAAGAGAAACATAGTTCCTGGTAATTCTATTAGGCACGGAGAAGTAACTCGGGACTCTCCACATCCCCGTGAATAAGTTTATAGATAAAAGTTGTGCCAAGCATCGTTCTACGGTTTAATAAGGATGGTAGATTAATTAGGAGAAGTCTACTAGAGTAGGATGGTAAAATAAGGCTGCATTCCAGTTAAGGCCCCGTAGAGCAAATAATAAAAAGTTATTTTGCACAGACTCTATCCGGTCTATATGTACACCACACTGAGGACTCCAAACTGCAGAACAGTACTCCAGGATTGGACGGACTAGTAATATGAACAGAGTCTTTGTAACATATGGATCATCGAAGTCCTTTGACCACCCTTTATTCACCGTAGAAGTAATATGGTCACAAAACTTAAGTTTAGGGTCAAGGAGGACGCCAAGGTCATCAACATGCGTAATTCTAGACAACGCGCAACCACCCAGCGTATACGTTGCATATTGTGGGTTCACCCGAAAAAATGTCATTACTTTGCACTTAGCGCTATTTTAAATCCAAAAGATTTTCACAACACCATGTTTGAAAAGCATTTAAGTCTGAACTGCTAGAAATTTCGTTATATTGCAGGCATAACTTAACGTCATCTGCGTACATAAGGACACGCGACTTTGTCAAGACTAGAGGGAGATCGTTTATAAATAAAGTAAAAAGAAGTGGGCCAAGGTGGTTTCCTTGTGGGACGCCTGAAGTAACTCGGATCAAATCAGAGATCGAGTTTTTAAAGAGGACTCGTTGAGTCCTACCACTCAGATAACTTGAGATCCATGTTAGAAGATCACATCGAAACCCTAATAAGTCTAGCTTTAATACAAGAAGCGAGTGATTTACTGAATCAAACGCTTTACTAAAATCAGTGTAAACTACGTCAGTCTGCATGTTCTTTCTGAAGCCATTTATTACAAAAGACGTAAGCTCCAAGAGGTTTGTCGTCGTAGATCTTCGCCTTATAAATCCATGTTGACATGGAGATATAATCGATCTACAAAGATGTTGCAAATGGGGTGTAATAGTGTTTTCGAAAAGCCTTGGGATGGCGGATAATTTGGATATGCCTCTATAATTACTTGTATTGCATTTATTTCCTTTCTTATGAAGGGGAATGACAAATGACTCCTTCCAAATAAGTGGGAAATGAGATGTTTTTAAAGACAAGGTAAACAATTTGTACAGAGGTCTACACAGAGTTTCAGCACAGTACCTCAGCACGCTGCCTGGAACTCCGTCCGGACCCGGTGAATAGACAGGCTTAACTTTATGGAGATCCAAAAGAAGGGAGCTTTCAAGTTCGACTTGGGTATGGCATTTGAATAAGACGGATTTGGACGGGATGAAACAGAATATGTTGTCTGGAAAAACTGGGCAAATAGATCGGCAATTGCCTGATCAGAATTTGCCGTAGAGTTTTGGAATGATAGTGATGCAGGGTAACAGGCTGATTTACGCTTAGTGTTAACAAAATTATAAAACTGTTTTGGATCTTGTGAAAATTGGACCCTACAACGAGTCAAATAGCTTTTATAACACCGGGCTTTAAGCACGATAAAATTTGACCGAGCCCTTAGGTACCGAGAAAAGGCAGATTGTGAACCGCACATTTTAAATTTATTGAAAAGTCTGGACTTAATATTTTTTAGGGTGACAACTCTTTATAAAAGCACGGAGGTTTATTTGAAATTGACGGATAGTATAACGGAACACACAGATAAAAGAAGGAATTTAATGCATTATAAAAGATATTAACGGCCTTAGGCACGTTAGTGCATGAATAAAATTCGGACCAGTCATAGCCGGATATAAAAGTATTTAAAAGATGAAAGTTTGACTTACGAAAGCAGCGGAATCGTTTAACCGACTTTTCGGATTTTTTATTCAGCTCTGTTCTTGCGTCTACAGTCAGCTCTAGAGTTGGATGATAAAGATCTTCCGGTTGTATAAGTGGTGACGTTCTTGATAGGCAAACGCCTTCTGAATTTGAAACAAAACACAAGTCTAGTAAACGTCCTAAGGAGTTCTTAACATGGTTAACTTATATGTTAGCTTATGTTTATCTCTGAGAGCGGTGCTCAGAGGGAGGGAAGAAGAATGTTATGTGCAAACATGGATATATTTGTTGCAGTCGCCACGCTGTGGGAATAAGCTAGCGCTGATGGTTTGTTTGGTCAAATTACGTTTGCACTTGAAGAGTGCTGCAGAAATGGGTAACATTGTTGCCGATGGTGCAGTGTGTACTCTGTATGTAAGTTAACCCGTTAACTACGGTCAACGATCTGGTGCCAACCAATAAATAAATAAATATTGAAAACACTTTTATTATAACTTGTATGCACACTACAGCTGATCATGAATATATATACTTCATATGGTCGGAAATGTCTCCTTCACTACGGTGTAAACTTATGATTGAAATTATAATACCCATTGCAAGGGTATAACAACTTGGGTTTGGTAGCATTGAATAAGCTTACTTTTACTTATACAAAAATTTATTTAGTACTGAGTGATTGCAAAATAAAAAAAACAAAGAGAGCTAGTGTCAGCGATACGTGCGGCAGTTTTAATTAAGGTCATTGCCGTATGCTGGGTTGCTTGAAAGAAGTTCGGGTGAGTCTCAAGCGTTTGGGCATGGCAACAGTTAAACCAAACGAAAAGAGCTTTACATTCTAATTAATTAAATAAATTCATTAAATAATTTTTTTCAATAAAAAGCTTTTCGTCACGAAAGTTTTGTTTGCATAAAAATTTTACTAAAGGATTACAAATAATTCTCACTGTTGTTTTTTTTTTAATTTCAGATTAGTTCAAGAGGAAATCAACGTATTGGCTCATATTTCAGATAATATACAACACTCACCAAAGCTATTTGTCGACGCTAACGATTTTGAAAATAAAACTACAGAAGCTTCAATTTTACAAGATAGTGTTGACTTGGATAATATATTCGCATTTCTAGGTGAATCAACAGAGGCAGCACTTGGTAACCCTCTCATTGATGAAATAAATGACAAAATGAATAATTTAGTTGAAGATCTTGACAAAGAAGTAAGTAAGATAAAGTTTTCATTTTTCTATTTAAAAATAGTATTTGTAGTATTTTTAGAATTTTGCAAATAAATATTAAAACTGTACTCAGATCGAAAAACAAGTTTGCTAGTAGAATCTTTCCAGTATGACCAAACTTTCGAGATTTCATCCGAACTGAGCGTGGTTACGGTTTTATTGTCAATGATCTAAGTTTGTTGACAGGCAGTAAAAAATTAAAAAAATAGATATCTGATTTTAGGGACAATGGCTAGACAAAATTGCCGGTAAATAGCAGTAAAATAAATATATGTATAACATTGTTTTAAGTTTTTTTCCGTCCGCCTGTCCATTCTATGATTTTTATGTTGTGTTTTGCTGTTTTGTGCGGTAGATCTCGTTGCCTCTTGTTTACTATGTCGTTTTTGGCTTGAAGGAAAGGGGTTGAGAAATTGTTGTCTTCGGATCGTGAGGACCAATGATTGGAAAAAGCTTTGTCTATTTTGGTATTTTATACAATGAATGGTAGGTTACTTATGTAAGCCACAAAATGTTCCAAATTGTTTGACATCTGGTGTCTGGGTTAATGTTGGATGTTAATGGTTGTATACTTTCTTTCTTACTTGTTCGAATTTCCCTTCTGTATATCGCGTTAGTTCGTTTGAAGTTACTAGGTTTTCACTGTTCATATGTTGGTTAAATTTTCTCCAGGCTATGTTTTTTTGGTTTTTTAGGGATTCTAAGTTTTTGTTCCACCAGGGTACGTTGTGGTGTTGTTTAGAGGGCTTAGTTTGTGGGATGCTTATATATGCACTTTGTTATTATTTTGTGCTACAGGAAAAAAAGTATTTAAGCTATTCATATAGGTTCCAATTTGCTAAGTTTATAATAAATCTAGGTATGTATCTATTTGCTTTTTTATTCTGTAAGTGGGAGTGGTCACTTCCTTGCAGCGTGTCGCTAATTTTAAAGGTGGAGTGAATTTTACGGTCAGGAGAGCAGAAGGCTAAGTCAATGTATGTATATGAGCTGTGTGTAGAGAAATGTGTGGTTTTGCCATTATTTAGAATTATATAGTTGCTATTGAGTATACATTTCCCTAAAAACGTTTCCTCTTTTATAATTCTTGGGTGATCACCACATACTATTCCAAATATAATATTAAAGTCGCTTGTGATAGTAATGTTGGGAACGTTGTTACCTCCGATTATGCCGTCTGCGAGGATTCCGGGCAGTTTCGTAGAGGTTTTCTCAGCAGGATTAGCTGCGACAGTGCCGCCTGCGAGTATTCCGGGCCTGTTCGCAATAATTAGGGCCACCAGTGTTACCTCCGATTATGCCGTCTGCGAGTATTCCGGGCATTTTCGTAGAGGTTTTTCTTCGCAGGGTTAGCTGCGACAGTGCCGTCTGTGAGATACCTCCGATTATGCCGTCTGCGAGTATTCCGGGCATTTTCGTAGAGGTTTTCTTAGCAGGGTTAGCTACGACAGTGCCGTCTGCGAGTATTCCGGTCCTGTTCGCAATAGTTTGTGCCACTAGTGTTAGCTACAATTACGCTGTCTATATCTCCCCAGACATTTTTTTTTAGAGTTTTTACTGTAGTGTCAACCGCTACCGGTGCATGCCCAGGCCGGTCCACAGCGTTTTGTACACGACTCGGTGACCCTAGTAAAAATTTACCAAAGAAAACATAGTGGTACCCGCTCCTCAACTGTCTCAAAGATAACAAATTTTATCTGATGAAGATCCTGTGCGGAATGAGACGCCGACCACAGCAAAAAGAATCCTTACAGATTGGCGCCCGAGCAGGGACTCGTTGAGGAAAATTCGTGGAAAATTCCAACCATCGTGGCCTAAAGAACCACTAGATCATTTTGTTTTCCACCATTGGGTGTTGCAAAGTTTTGTCAAGAGGTCATTGGGAAGCTGAAAAATTTGTAAGAACGGCAGAGAACTAAAAATATATAGTAATATATATAACAGCGTCATAAAGACAGTCGGTCGTGAGAACTCAAGCAGGCAACATCGTTCAAAACGAACAAGATTTTATCGTCGTCAAGTGTACAAATCAAACGAGTGGTGTAAAAACCCCGTCAATTAAATCGCGAACCACGTGCACCGCGCAGATAAATCCCAATTAATTTGACATTCGCTGCAGGGATTCTGAACAATAATCAGCGTCGTAGACGCTCGCCGAGTTTTCGAGGCGGGAGGATCTGTCACCGGAAGCAGAGACACAGTTGGCAAAAATGGAAACGGTGTACGGGAACGCCGTTACTCCTGACCAAAAGTCGACCACCCGAACGAAAAAGGACCTGGCGGCTGAAGGAGCAACTCTCTCCAGTTACCTCGGACCACGTCAGGATTTTCGAACATTAACTGAACTGACACAGCTCGTAGTCAACTTCGAGGTCATAAGGAGCAGAGGAGAGGGGAATCAAACAAGTCTTCAGGAGCGCGAGGGATTTAACCTCCCACATCGAGAAACTCAAGGTGCCCCGATGGGTGCGCGTGTGCACTCGAACTCGAAAGGCACCACAGGGAGAGGTACCGAGATACAACATGGGACCATCATGCCGGAATCGGAGGCTCCGATCAACGTGCATAACGCCTGCAGGAACTGCGATGAAACGGCCATTTCCAACTGGAGTGCCGACAACCCAAAATTTTATTTTGCTGGGACTGTGGCAGACGTGGCTTTCACACCGTGAAATGTTGCCGGAGATCGGGAAACGGCTTCGGGCCTCGAGCAGGCGGGGATCGCCCGAGGAACCCGAGAGATTCCCCAAACCAGTAAGTCAAGAATTAAAGTTAGAGCATCAAAGGGAAACCGTTTAAGGCCACCCTGGATACGGGAGCCACACGGAGCTTCATTAGCGAACAACGAGCAGCGGAGATCGGTCGTGGAAGAGATTGGCGAGAGATTCGCACCCGGATCCGATTGGCCGATGGATCCCACTGTGACCTTACGAGGGGCCTGGTAGTAACCATCCACCTGGGTCTCCAACAAGTAAAGTTGTTCTTGCTAGTGATGCCCACGGTACTAGATGATCTCCTGCTAGGAATCGATTTCCTTTGCGGCATCAAGGCCACCATTAGCTGCGGGGGAGAATTATTGCAACTGGACTCGAGGGCTGAACTAACCAGCGATCGGCGAGGTAACGAGGAAACCATGGACATTCCAGCGAGGGACAACGCACCAAACGAGGAGTGCGTGGTTGCCCCTTCTGGAATCTTGCGAGGCAACGAGGAAACCATGGAAATTCCAGCGAGGGACAACGCACCGAACGAGGAGTGCGTGGCTGCCCCTTATGGAATCTTGCGAGGCAACGAGGAAACCATGGAAATTCCAGCGAGGGACAGCGCACCGAACGACGAGTGTGTGGCTGCCCCTTCTGAAATCTTGCGAGGCAACGAGGAAACAATGAAAATTCCAGCGAGGGACAACGCACCGGACGAGGAGGGCGTGGCTGCCCCTCCTGAAATATCCAGGAGCAACGAGAACACAACGGAGACCCCCGCAGTAAACCCTAGACGATCGAATCGCACTAGACGGACCCGAAACCGCCACGAGAACGCGACAGCAAGGGAGGCCCAGCCTAGTTTGATTTTGGCCTTGCCCAGAGGAAACCAGACGGCTCAGCAGCGTAACCCTTTCCGGCAAGGTCCGGGACCCTCTCTATCGACTAGAAGAGTTCGATTTCGGGATCCAGTCGTGGAACCCGTATTCGAATCTAGGCCCGACCAATCGTCGTCGATAGACTTCTGATGCGAGGAAAGTCTGGCCATCATCGACACCAGGCCGAACTTGACAACGGCGCCGGAAGCCATGGATCCGAGGGTGAGTGCTTTTCTGCAGACCGAGCTAGACAAGTTCGACCATCTGAAGGGTACATATAATATCGCGGAACATCACATCATTATGAGGGATGATAAGCCCATCAAACAGCGATATTACCCGAAAAATCCAGCGATGTGGTTGCTTACCGAAGTGGGACTAACTCTACCCAATTAGTGAATGCGTCCAAAAATACCAGTAGAATGGTATTTCCGTGACGAGAACGTGGAAAAGGGCCCATGAAGTCTGCACATACTACGCTGAATGGTTCTTCGACTTGGAGTGTGAACATCCGGCCGGCGGGTTTAAGTTGCCTTACCTTGTATTTCTGGCAAGTGTGACACCGTCGTACATACTTTGTAACTTCCCTGAAAAGTCCTGGCCAGTAGTACTTTTGTGATGCGCGTTTGCCGGTTTTCCGTGTGTCCGGCTGTTGGGTGATCGTGGCACTCCTGCAAGACCCGTTGGCGGTACTCCTGGCCGACACATAGTTTCCACGGGACTTGATCTTTCTCCTGGGGTGTATTTCCCGTCATTCGGTACAGATGGCCACCTTCGATCCAATATACTGGAAATTTTGCAGGTTCTTGAGTTACCTGAAGCGTCATCTTACGTATCCACTTGCACTGGGATGGCTCCACATCGGCTTGTCGCACCGTGTCCAAGGGTTGGCGCGAGAGAGCGTCCGCAACTACATTAAACTTTCCGCGTCGATATTGAACGTCGAACTGATATTGTTGAAGTTCGAGCGCCCACCTTGCTATTCGCCCGGTCGGGTTGTCAATTGAATTCAGCCATTTCAACGCCAGATGGTCCGTCACGACTTCGAAACGATACCCTTCAAGGTAGCAACTCATTTTCCGAATGGCCAATACGATAGCGAGGCATTCTTGCTCAGTTACTGAGTAGTTTTCCTCGGCTCGTGTTAATCGTCGGCTGGCGTAAGCTATGACTCGCTCTACTCCGTCGATGCTCTGAAGCAAGACTGCTCCTAACCCGTGATCGCTAGCATCGGTTTGTAATGAAAATTTTTGAGTAAAGTCAGGGCACGCAAGCACTGGGGCTTCAGTGAGTCGGGTCTTCAGTGTTTCGAACGCTTGTTCCTGTTCCGTGTCCCAACTCCATTTCTTGCCTTTTCGGAGGAGTGGTGATATTGGTTATCAATAAACAGGTGGACGAGCTA